TCCCGATCAAAAAACATTATACTTGTATTGTTTTGGCCTTGTGAAATGGTGTTATGAAGCGAGACAAGTGTGAAGTTGCGAAAAGGTAGTGTTGTCAAAACTGGAAAGCAGGATCCAACCATGCAGAAGGTTCCTCTTATCGCACAACGGCGTTCAACAGCGAGTTGTTTAGAAAACAACATGTCGCATGATTTTCACAGGCAGAGGTTCGGTCATGGACATTTTGCCGCAGCTTTGATACCATTGCTCCGTGTTAGTGCCCACCGTGCTGACGAGCATAGGAGGACACGTTTGCAAACTTCAATAGTTTTTTGTTGCCATGCATGCAACTTGTAATGCTGGTTGCAAAGCTCAGTCGGTGGTGTGTCCACTATCACATTGTTGGCGCAATGAGAACTATCAAACACCTGGTGGTTGCCTTCAAATGCGGAGCCCTCAGTGGCATTCGAAGAGGAATATTTTCAATCATGGGACTAGCAATCAGGTCACTTCATGGCAAGTATGACGATGGTACGTAATTGAATTTTCCCTTTGTTGTGCATTTTTTTTGCAGTGTTTTGTTTCTTTTGCGACTCGCATAGGCAGTCCCGCACGGATTGCTCGTATATGTAGAGCACAAAAAAGATGGAATGTTGCACAATGCACACAAACACAATTCCACATCCTGAGCTGGGTTTGGCGGCCTTGGTGTGTTTGAAATGACCTGACACTTGCCAAAGCATGTCAATCGTATTTATTTTTGTTTCTAGTTTTATTTTTCCAATGCAGCCAGCAGCCAGCAACGAGCAGATATCATGAAATATCATTTCCCCCAAAAAAATTACGAACCAAATCATTAATTGAGGCCAAGGCTTCTTCCAGGAAACTCCCCGCCGTCCCCAGGCGAAGGGAACTTCGAAGAAGCCTGAACTTTCCTGTGTCCTGCGTAGCGGCTTACTTACAGGAATGCAAACTGCCGTCTCTTCATAGTTTCGGCGGCTGAGGTTTCATAGCTGCTGAAAGTTTTGGGACTGTTGCAACCTCAGCTTAACGTGACTTGAAGTCAACTTGACATGTTGCGCTTGCGTCATGAGAATGTGCAATTGCGTCAATCCAAAAAGGGCTAGCATAATTACCTACCAAGACAGTTCAAATTCATTCAGTGGTTTCAGCCTTGAGAGCCTTGAGTGTCTTTGACATGCAGAGATTCTCAAGCTGGTTTTGACCCGGCAGCCATGTCAGCTGTTTCCAAAGTGATTCAGCTGCTCCTTGTGGCGCGTTTGTGCTCACTTTCGAACGGGGGTCAGTTCATTGAAATTCAAGGGGTGTCCGACGCTCCTGGCACTCCTCTTGGCAGTCCCACTGGAGGCTCCAGCGCGGTATCATGCAAGAATGCGTGCCTCCAAGAGGTTGAGTGTGACTGCGTGGTCTATGATCCCATTCACAGCAGCTGCAAAATGCAGAGTGATTGCCTCTACTTTCATCCGGATTTTCAAGAAGGGGGGCCTTTGGAGCTGCACATCAAGCTGCCCCAGCGTCTTCAGCACTTTTCAGTCTTCCCAGGCACCACAGCGAACTCGGACAGTCGGCTCATTTCAGGGAAGGAGGCGGATTCCTTCGGCACGGAGATGGAGTGTGCTGACCGTTGTACCCAAAATGCAGAATGTCAATGTGTGATTATCCAGTCCCAGGAAAGATGGAGTTCATCCAAGAACCATTGCTGGATGCGCTCCAATTGCCAGCCAGGAACCTTCCAGCGTGACCAATCGACCGTAACCATTATGACCCTGATGAAGGACGCACCAGGCGAGGCCTAAGAGTAGGTTTGTTTTTGAGTGGCCATCCAGTTTTGGAAAGAGCATGGGCATTGCCGGTGGGGTTTACCTCACCTGTCAGCTGTGTCTTCAGGACATTTCCCGCAAATCATGATGTTTGCTTCCCGAAGCCTTTTAACTTGTGCACCCTGAGGTCAGGCTGGCTACCCCTTCATCTCGGTGGATGACGGAGTGGGAAGTGCACCAACCAGTGGAAGTGGCGGTAGTCCAGTGGGGATCATCATTGCCGTGCTGCTGATTCTGGCCCTCTTGGCAGCAGTCGCGCTGCTGGTCTTGTGTTACCTCCGGACCCAGAAGTGGCAGTATCGAGCCATTCTGCAAGACTTGTCAGTACCCAAGGAGGACGGCCCGAGGAAGGAATATGCAAAGGAGGAATTGCAAAAAAGCTTTGACTCAAAGAATGCGCCGACCTATCTTGGCTCTTTGGAGTTGGCCTTGGATGCAAAATTGCAGAAGGAAGACATCCCTTGTGTGTATAGCATACAGAAAGTTCCTGAGACATTTCGCATTCCCAAGGTAGATGCTGCGAAGACCAGCCTCACCGTTCAGCTTTGCTTCATTTTGGACTACACCGGAAGCATGAAGACTCAGATTTCTCAGACCAAAGACAGTGTCGCAAAAATCGCTGAAGCCATGCAAAAGCTTCAGATCACTAGCATGCCAAATGCCAAGGTGGAGGTGGAGATGACAGCGATTGCTTACAACGATTGGGACCCTGATACCAAGAAGAAAGGGAGGCCAGTCGTGGCTGTCTTTGGGGGTCAGGAGATCAAGAATATTGATCATGACGAGAGCCTGCCCATTGAGAGCTTTGACTTGGGTGGAACTTGGACGAAGGATGCGGCAACACTTGCGAAGTGGATCAACCAAGATTTGGGAGCCTCAAACTTTGAAAAGGCGTTTTTCTTTCAGCTTGCTGTTCCTGAGACTGTCTTGCTTTTTTTGGTCTTTTCATGTGTCCTTTGACATTCCTTTATTGAATGGCAAGAAGCTCAGGCGTCTCCAGACGGTTTTTGGGTGCACCAGGACTTCTATTTGAGTAAACGCACACAGGGCGTTAACTGAGCTGAGGACATGGTGGGAAGATCCCGGAGGAGCTGACGGGTGGCTTGCTGGCCGCCTCGCACCTCGAGTGGACCGCCGAGGAGAAGCTAGCGATCGTCATCACCGATGCTCCGTGCCATGGCAAGGAGTACAGCACTGCAGATCATGACCCCTTCTGCAACAAGGAGACCGGTCTAGCGGAGTGGTAGCGGCCTGGGAACGAAATCATTCGTGCGAGCGCTTCTTCAAGGAAGCTCCCCCGCTCCCCTGCCCTCAGGCGGGGGGGAACTTCGAAGCTTCCTTGAAGAAGCGTGAGCTATCCTGCGTCCAGCAAGGTAGTAGCGTCCCAGTAGCTAGAAACTTACTCCTAGGGCAGGGCCACAGGCTAAGGGAAGACTCGTTTTGCAACAAGGAGACCGGTCTGACCTGTACCGGAAAGCCGGAAGTGCCTTTGCGCGGCTTGATGGACAAGGGCGTCACGACCGTGATTCTCCACACCGGTGAGTCGGATGCCGAGACGATGTGTCAAAAGCTCGCACAGACGGATCCAAACCTGATCTCCTACAAGGTGTCGGCCAGCGATACGGCCAAGAAGGTGATAGCTGTGCTCGAAGACAAGGTTCAAGTACAACCTCTCACCTATGTGCTGAAGCCTCTGAGATTAGAAGATCATCCGCCCCAGGGGCAACTCCTTTGCGATTCCATCCGAGTCTCGGACGTTGCCAGTGGACATGATCTTGAAGTGGCCGTGGGCAAGGAGAAAACCACTCACAGCATTGGAGCAGACGGTTTGCTCTTCGTCGGGAAATCCTCTCAGAATCCGATGATCACCTTGTCGAGGCCTGTCGACAAGGATCTGGATGGCTGGTTTGAGGACAAGAGCCTTGAGGCAGTGCCGTTTTGGACCAACTCCGGAGGATGAAAACGCTGTTTTTTGGTTTGGACAAGAGTGAAATGGTGAAAAGCCTTAACTAAGCAGGATGCCTTCAATCCGAACCCCCTACCGTTCGTACCGCCCTTACCCTTCCGCTGCCTGAGGTGGAGTTGGATCGCTACTATACTCCATCAAGGGTCTATTCAGTCAAGATGCCGCCAAAGACCGCCAAACCTGAGTGAGCTGGCCATGGGGCAGTTCCAATACTGAAATCCGGCCATGTGGTTTTGGTTGTTGACCCCACACCGAAGCAGAAAAAGGCAGAGCAATGGAAAATCTTCAACTGCTCAAGTCTCACCGGATGAAGTCGTTCGCCTTGTCATCCGCCCGAATTCCATGGAGGAACTGTACGGGTTGTGATGCAAGTTTTGATGATGAGGTTTGGATGAATCATCGAAATGGGGATTTAGGAGACCCTCATCTTGAGAAACATCTATGGCTCATTTTGTGAGTGTACTTGTTAGACTCAGGCCCCTGAATCCCTAGGACATGTTCGAGCACAATGATCAGCGATGGCCAAGCCATGCTGATGAACGCACATGCTACTGGTTGAAAAGCGAGACTCCTGAGATGCATGGACTATGATGTCACAAGTCTGAACTCTGCTATTCAATAGACTTTTGCTTTGCTGGACTCGCAGACACCGATGTCTTCTTTCGAAGGAATATGCTACTCTTTCTACGTAACCTAAGGTGCCTACATGGATTGCCTCATCCGCAAGCTGAGGCCTTTGCAGCGTCCATAGAGAATCAGAAGTTGCTGGATTGGAAGTGGCAAAGGGTTGAAAACATGGGTCTTCAGAGAGTAGTCCTCTTCCCACAACCCATGCCATCCATGCCATCCATGCCATCCATGCCATCCACTTCCACTCTTGGTGGTCAAGACGCTGACCTCTTGGAGTGGCATTTTTTTCAAAGAAGCGCTCCCTGGCACTGGCCGTGTTCCACTGTTCGCGACTTCGGGCAAAAGTGACACGAGGCGTGACGGCTACACTGTGTTTGGGGGCATTGCAGCAGTGTAACGAGCAGTGCAGCCATTTCTGACCAACCGCTGGCCATGTTCTTTGCTGACCAACCGCTGATGGCTCCCAGCCACTGTCTTGAGTCTGGCAATCGCAAAAGGGCTGCCGGTTGCAGAGGGGCAAAGTCCAGGACACGCGTAGCTGTAGATAGAGTTCAGCCATCAGGGAACTTGCACTCACTCGTGGTCATTCCAAGCTCTAGTATTCCTAGCTGATCACGGTCGCCAAGATGATGCCCTATCAGAACGAAATGCGCCCTTTGACTGACTTGAATGTGCCAAGTGGCAGTTTACGCAGGTTCCTTGCCCTTTTGCCGCCAGATGAAACAACATATTCTTTGGATTCTGCAGGTACCACCTTCCACCCTATGAAGGAGGTGAGAGCTGGAACTGGCAGTCGTCGTGGAGTGCGACCGTCAGCGAATTGGCGATTTTGCACATCATCCTCATCTTCCATCCTCCCAGGACTTTCTCACTTTTTTTGAGGTGAGACATTTGAGCATGTCCCGTACGAGCAGCAGCGATGTTCCGTGGAAATGTACGCAAAGAGCTGAGTTTCTGCAGACGTCGATCCGAGACGATTTTTGAAGCCATGGCTGCGATGTGAAATGCTTACATGATTGAAATGGGTGCATGATTCACCTGAAGATAAGTCAAAGCAGAAATTCGTAAGAGGATGTCAGAGGTCACAGAGTACGAATCGCTGAGTAGTTGAGACTCCAGGAATCCAAAAAAGCTGTATTTAGGACTTCCTGTTGCTAGCAGATTTTTCTATGTTTGGGAGGTGGCTGCAAGGTTGCAAGTCCAAGTTGAGATCCGCAAAAAGTCTTCGATTCCTCCTGGATTTGTTTTGTTTGTCCACATACATTTCCTGGCATTTGAAAGGTGCTTCTTGAGTATTCCTGATTTGCTGCCGTCATTGGTCCGCGGCACCTGAGGAAGAAGGTCAGTGGGGTGAATATTCTTCTGAGTGGACCGCGCCGGAGTCCTGGTCCTCATCCCAGGTGGTCCCGGAGGCGTGGCCTTCAGCTGTGCCCTGTGGAGAGGGGCTGTGCCCTGTTGTTTCAGACATTCCGTTACGTTGGAGTAGCAAGAAGCTACTAGTAGCTCCTGGCATTACTACTAGTAGCAA